GGTCATGAGCCAATAGTTAGCCAGGTTGGTCGGCGAGGTCCTCATGCCGCTCATGCCCGCTCTTCGCATACAAAATGAGTGTCAGCCAAGACTCGTTAGCTCTAAGCATATCCTGCGCGTCCATCTGAATTCAATTAATATCTCCGTAAGATCACCACCGCTCTTACGGCATGACTCCGCGAGACGCCTTGTCTGGCTCAATGCTCACCGCGATTTACCGAAGCCTAATCTTTCCCTCGAGAAATTCATCAAACGACCCAATCCATTATTTGCCAGGCCTATCGCATTTCAGGCAATGTTCCTGTTATTTTACTCTGTTCCTTGATATCACGCGCAGGCTCATCATGCCTCGTACCCAGGCAGAGCCCGGAAAATACGCAGAGCCGATGTCAATCACTGTCACGAGGGATGAGGAGGAGCGGGGGTGGGACCTCAGGCGGGAGGGGGGGTTCAAACAGCCACCCTGGCCAACCTCCTCCCACTCGCGCGCTGAAAAATTAGGACCCCGGCACCAAAACCACAACAAAGGGCTTCTCTACATGGGCATCGTGAATATACTTTTTCGTAGCAAGGATGGGGCTCTGCAGGCGTGTGGGCGCGCGGGCGTGCGAGGGGGTGACTGACCCGCTACGCGCTCGTCCTCTCGAAAGTGATTTGCACGATCTCCCCTTTCCGCTATCTGGGTGTGCAAGAGTGTCTGCTGTTCTGGGTTATGCTACAGGAAGCCTATGTCCTTTGCAATAAGTTGAAAACAAACAACTCGCTCACTAAAGGCGGCCGCAGCACTAACAGGAGCACAGCACTTCTAAATTCAAAGGAAGAAAAGCCTGTCACGAGGAAAGGCTTATGTAACCACAACTCGCCCGCACGCGGAAGCCCTTTGCTTTTGAAACGGCGTCACCCCCGCAACAGGCGGCTCGGGGGAGGGTGAACTTGGGCGGGGTCCCAGAAGTTACTACGGGCGGCGGTGGGCGTGGGTGGTGGACCCGGGGTTAGTAACACCTGAGCAATGTACCATGTGGGCGTCGACCCCCTCCAAACCAATACCTCTTCTACCTGCCTCGAACAACTTACTGCCGCCGCCCCCCCTCGCCCACAACCCCCAGGACTAACAGCATCCCACTCCGCAGATTCACATCTCAGCGCAGACACGAAAGCAAGAGGTGGCCACGGTTCAGTGTCCAGCTGACCTACTCACTCTTGCACCGGGGCAGGACGCCTTCCTCCGAGTGCTTGATTCTGTCGCTGCTTATAAATGAAGGCACGAGCACGTACATGCACACGTGTGTGTGTGTGTGTGTGTGTGTGTGTGTGTGTGTGTGTGTGTGTGTGTGTGTGTGTGTGTGTGTGTGGTGTGTGTGTGTGTGTGCGTGTGCGTGTGCGTGTGCGTGTGCGTGTGCGTGTGCGTGTGTGTGTGCGTGTGCGTGTGCGTGCGTGGTGGTGGTGGTGGTGGTGGTGGTGGTGGTGGTGGTGGTGGTGGTGGTGGTGTGGTTTGGTGGTGGTGGTGTGGTGGTGCGTGTGAGAGAGAGAGAATGTTTGTTTGTATGTTAGCTTGTTTGAGTGTGTGTGCACGCGCGCGTGTACTCGTGGGTACGTGGGCATTTATTTGTTTATTTATCTGCTTCTGTTTGTGCGTCTCTGGACACGAGTTCGCGAATTCATCTTTGAACGCGTCCGCGTCCGGCCGTGCGAGTAAACAGAAGCGCCCGCGCCCCGACAAAACAGACAAAGCCTCCCCGACGGCAAGCGGCGCCCAGCGGCCTAATAAACCCCGACCAAACAACCCCAAACACCCTATCGAAAATATCTGTTATCCCGCCATCGCGTCCCAGGTCCCCCGCGCCGCCTCGAGTCACACATCCCCGGAGCCATAAAGGTCAAGAAAAAACAATCGCCTCCCTCCCTCCTTCCTCCCCGCCCCTCCCCCCTCGCCCCGCTGCTCCTCGCCTTGGGTCCTCTGCTATTGACGTTAACCGACAGCATTGTACATTAAGTCCGTCCCCCTTCCCCTCCCCCGCCCCCCCCCTGACACCCACTTTGACCCAACCTGACCACGTCCAGAATGTAATTGGCAGGCGATTCTTGTTGGCGATAAGGAGCACCTGCTGTCCCCGCGTCTCGTTTTCCTGGCGACGGCGACCGGGAACGAAGGAACGGCCAGGTTTGCTCTCGATATCTGCACCTTGCTCTCGCCAACCCCGACTTCGTCTTCGTATCCAGAGAAGCCCATCATCGCCATCGCATTGATTATTATATGTCCTTCATCAGTTTATCAACGTTATCGTCATCACTAAATTCCCATGACAATATTCCTATAAATGACAGGCGTTGCCCCTAGCATTCTATTCTGATATTTTCTTTACATTCGTATACAAGCTACAACTGTGGTAATCACAGGAGAGCATCTACAGCATACAGTTTTTCTTCTCTTTTTCTTTTTCTTTATTTCACCCACTCCCCCACCCATTCCATGATTTATCATCCCTTCTTGACTTTGTTCCTCTATTTCTTCTTGGGAAAGATGTTTACCATTAGTGGGTGTTGTCCCTTTCCGGATGTTTCCTCCCCTCCCTTCCCTCGGGCCTGCTCCCCCTGCGGCCAGGATGCTATCGCCCCCAGGATACGCTGCGTACATTCCCAAGCCTACGCCTACGGACGCCCACGTAACTATGTAAAGCCTCGAAACAATAATCTGTCGCAGGAGCACCAGCATCCGAGTAAATGTTCAAGTTCCAGAAGCTCAGACATTCAGGTGCTCCAGGTGTCAAGACGCGAGCCCTCCCGCCCTCACACGCAGGCGCCCACGACAAACAACAGCGATGCGCGAGTCATTAGCTTGGCCCCACCAAGCCTCCTCCCTCGCTCCTTATATTTCATTCCTTCCGCGAACGACTCCCGTCCTTCCTTGCCTAATCGCCCTCACGCTCCGCCGCGGCAGCCGCAAACGCTCACCTGAGGACTACGTGAAGGCCTCTCCTTGCCACGCGGGGAGGACAACCTACGGGTTCACCTTACCATAGCATAATAAACTATTCCGTGCCTCTCCCTTCACCTTCTCCTTCTTTCCATTCCCTTCCTTGTGGCGTGCCGGGGGTGCCCCATCACCCCCTCCCTCTCCCTCTCTCTTGTACGCCCGTACGGCCATGACCTTGCCTGTGTGAGTCGATCAGCACACATGACGATCTTAAGGGCGAAGGGGACCTTGGCAGGTAGGGCAAAATGGTTCTTACTGACATTCGTGTCCGCCCCTGCCCTGCCACCGGTCCTCCTCTCTCGCACTCAAACACCTTGATGGTCTGATAACGCTCATTTCAACATTCCAGCGGCAGGTACAGCTTTCCGGCGGCGCGGCGTGTGTTGGTGGTGCCCCCCCCCCCTCCCGTGCACGCCCAATGCTCCAATCCCAACTCTCGCCTCAAAACCAGCCCAAGAATTACAGAAACCGCAATTTCGCGTCTGTGAAGCTGAGAATGAAAACAAGAAATAATAGTCCCTTACGAAAGTAGACACTCGATTAACATAACATTTACTCAACACGTTATGAAGTCAAGTGACTTAACTGTTTCGACACATTAATTAATATCAAGACTCCCGAGTTTTACCAGGGTGCACTCTTGCCCAGCACGCCCGCGACGCCTCCGAGAGCAACGCGGCTTAAAAGGATGAACCGGAGAGGTATACCGATGAAAAAATAGAGAACAGAAACAACAAAAACACTAATGATGACGTCGGCGGCGGCGACGACTACAGCAATGAGTGCAACAGCAGGCAGGAACAGATGAGAGAGACGCCGTGCAACTGCTGGCATGCAAGCTGAGAGCTTCGACGTGTGTTTGCATAGGAATCCGCTACGAGCCGCGGGCGGGATGCGCTGAAGGCTTGTGTCGGCCGACTGTGGACGGCTGCATGTGCACGCCTTCGAAGGGAAAAAGGGAAGGAGACGCAAATATATGTTTATGGTAACGGTTTGTCCTGTCTGTCTGATATAACCGCAACTGTTTAAATAATATAACAAAAATCAAGCATGTAAATGTAGTCATGCCTGCTGAGATATAAAGATGAAACCAATCAGTGGACGATTAATATATTGAAGAGGCGGCTTTACAAACCCACAAAATGCCCAATGCTCGTCGTCTACTTATCTATACGTAGATTATACTCATTTTTACAATTTGAAAAGGGTTCTTTTCCCATCTCGATATCTTGCTTATTCAATATCCTAATATCCCAATTTCAACAAGCAATCATATTCACGCTTTCTTAATTCATATTCTCACCTTCATAGAGGAATCCCTCTCCTACTTCCCCAGCCTTGCAATCATACCAATGACCCATACCCTTCCGATACCCAAGGAGGAACAGCCATTCCCCTGGACGCGCCTTCCTCCCAGGCAACCCTCCGCGTGCCTGCGTTCCACGGGAAGGGCAAACAAAGGTTAAGAAGTCGGATGGACTCGGGTATTATCAACGAGTCTCGCCAGGATCTGTCGTACCCTTTAAATGGCAGAATCGTCCATCATCACGTCCTTTACATATAAACAGTCAGGGAAATTATGTTTAGTTGTTAACGCTTGCACTTCTAAGAAATAACAAAAAACTATTTTTTACTACATCAACATGTAAACCGAACAAACTGTAACCTATAACACAAACTTCCTGATGCAAATTGTAATTTCAATTGACAGAATCGTTGACTAGAAATGAAAATCACTCCTCAAAGAAAACGGAGCGCCGGCATACATTCAAAGAAAACACAACTCAACACAGGGGAGACACTGGGCTACATGCTAGTACTCGTCAATCACAGCCAAAGGATGCGCATGACTCGAGTGAGAGTCATGCAATAAAAAGGTTTTTCTGAAGGAAACCCTGCGACACACGCTGATTTTACCACAGACCCAGAACAGCTATTCCCGAGAAGCTCCTGGTTATGTGCAGGCCTACAGGGGAAGGGGATCTGAAACGCGTGGCGCCCCACCACGGGCGGGGTGCGCACTGAC